AAGTCTGCACTCCAAGCCTTCCAAGCCGATTGCGGTGAAAGATGAGCTATTCAATTCATTCTCTGCACCCACTGCAAAGCCTCTCATCAAGGCTGAGCTACAATCGAGAATCACCTCTACTCTCACGGACGACTCTACGGAGGCTGCACCAAAAATCTCAAGATTGGAGCGAATTCGACTTGCTAGAGCTAAAAAGGAAAGGGAGCAACAAATCAAGAAGGAGGAAGACTACAACACTATTCCGAATTTTTGATCAAGCTCACTCATATCTACAGTGTATAGATTATTTGTGCTAATTTGATTTCTTGGTTTCACCAAAAACGATCTTTTAAGTACATCTGATCAAGCCTTGAAAGGTGTCTCGGTTGGAGGTTCCGCCTGTGCTGCAATTCTCGCCAAATGTCTCCTTTGACCAGACTTCCAGTCAACAAGAGCTGAGTGGGACGTCACCCTGTTATCCCAAACCACGACCGTCTTCTCAGCCCATTTCACTCTCGCTTGGAAATCAGCTCCATACGCGATATGATCATACAGAAATTTGAGTAAGACCTCGCTTTCCTCATGTTTGTAACCAACGATTGATCTAGTAACTAAAACTTCGTTAGAATAGTCATAGCTGTGGAACTGTCGCTCTTACATTGTGGATTGACATAGAGCGCCTTTTCCCCTGTCACAGGATGTGTGCGGACGATCGGATGTACGCTCACCACCGGCTCTCTACGAACGGCACCGTTTTTACCCCTCGATGCGTTGACTTGCTCAATGCCCGAGTGAGTTGCCTTGAGACCATGTAGTCTCTCTTTGAATCCATCACTGAGCCTGTTGTATGCTTCGACTTGATTTGCGAAAAGTGTGTCACCGCCGCTCTCAGGGACGTCAAGAATGTAGAGGAATGTGGTGCCTGGCGGCTGGAGCTCGTAGGACACATCGCTGTGCCATGCAACCGACGAAGTCCTGGTCTTGAAGAACTGCTCGGCTGTCTTGTCTCCGGCGCCTCGGTGAACCAAGTGCACTTCTGGATATCCTGCAGGGGCTCCCGAAGTAGGATGCTAGTCAGGACTTTAGCATGTATAATTTTCAATGTCTCAGGATCATAACAACGGATTTGATCCCAAATCCCAGATCATGGAGGGATTTAGGGCGAGAAAGGACATACAATGTGAAGACGGCCAAAATATCGCCCGTAGTCAAGGGCCTCACTGATGGGTAGATCTGCGAAGTCTTGATCTCTGAAAGCGACGACCTTTCTCTCCGCAACAAATCTAGCCAATTCATCTTTACCGGCATTACTCAATTTGCTGAGTTGGACACCAGAAACTTCGGTACCGATTGTTGGGGTCAGATCTTCAGTTGTGACACCACTTGCCAGAAGCTCAGGAAAGTTGGGATTTGCATCCAAGCCATGGTCTCTATGTTCAAATGGCTCTAGAGGTGGGAAGCTCTCAATGCCCCAGGTGGGGAGGTAGTTCTTGTACTATGGAATGGTTAGAGACAAGATTCAGGAAATACATTGAGTACGAACCTTTGCTGCTGAGAAGCCATCTTTCCCCTGTTCTTCGGCGTCTTTCTCATATCCGATTGGCGCAAGCTCCTTATACGGTCCAACATTGCTCGTGAGCTTGGCTGGACGACTTGGCAAAGTGATAGTTTCAGTTGCTGAGGGAGCCATTTTGGATGATGGATTGATGAAGAGATTTGGATTTCCTTCTGTCGAATTTGGGACCATGAGACTCTTTATATCTTTCGTGCGGTCACATTGTATCTTCCAAGAATTGCGTCTTCCAACAAAGCCATGTCCCCTCATCCCCACTCCTGGGTATTCGGGAAGCAGCCATCCTTTGTGAGCTTCCGCATCTATTATTGGCGGGCAGCACCTTGACTACCTGATAACATTCTGCAAACCAGCCGTTACGTAGATGATGTATTGTAGGAAAGTTGTCAATAATCACCTTGATCGCCCGACGGTGTTGAGGGGTTGCAAGTATTATTGGTGGATGGTTAGGCTAAGAAATGGTGCAATTAAGCTCATACATTACGAACATTCAAGGGATGGGTTTCAGCCTACGGCCAAGGACAAAACAATATGGGTACCGGGACTCCATACTCTATATTTAGCCCGACTTCTGATAAGAACAGTAGGGCAGAAATGAAACCACATAAGTCACAAATTCTCCAAATCCAGAAAGGATACGGTCATGTGATATGAACTCACGTGCTTACAAATCATCAGTCTGTCTCGATCTCAGTAGGGGATAATTGATATCAAAATGGACTCTAGAAGCCTAGGAATATTTCTCGTCCTAGTAAACTTCCGTGTAAAAGGTTTGTATTTCAAAGCATGACTCAGTATCACGTTCTGGTGGCAACTGGCTGATAAGAAATAAATCGCGGGGTTCAGATTTCGACATTTTCTCAAACCCCACCACCAAGAATTCAAGAAAGCAACCAGAACTTCCGTCAAGATGTCTGCCATGGATCTTGACGCACCGGTGTCTATTGCAACAAGATTTACAGCAGCAGACCAGCAGCAAAATGGTGCAACGTAAGGAAATTCTCAGCGTTCTGCAAACGTCCTGCTAATATCTCTCAGCATTCTGTGCTGCAACTGTGGCGCTGCCATCGATGGAACGACTGCCGCAGGCGCCCTCTGTTACGATTGTGTGAAGCTTACTGTCGATGTTTCCCAAGGGATTCAGCGCGAGGCTACCCTACATTTTTGCAGAGATTGCGATCGATGGCTGCTTCCCCCCTCCAGTTGGATAGTCGCTGCTCTCGAATCCAGAGAACTCCTCGCTCTGTGCCTAAAGAAGTTACGAGGTCTACACAAAGTACGGATTATCGACGCAAGCTTTATCTGGACGGAACCCCATTCTCGCAGAGTAAAGGTCAAGCTTACGATCCAAGATTCTGTTTCCGAGGGTGTCGTGCTACAGCAAGCATTTGAGGTGGAATACGTGGTCGCATACCAACAATGTCCCGACTGCGCGAAATCCTACACCGCGAATACCTGGAGAGCTTGCGTACAAGTCAGGCAGAAGGTCCCCCACAAGAGAACTTTCCTCTACCTCGAACAACTCATCCTCAAGCATGGCGCACACAAGGACACAATCAATATCAAGGAAGTGAAGGATGGCTTAGATTTCTATTACGCAGCACGGAACCAGGCCGAGAAGTTCGTCGACTTCCTCAATTCCGTCGCACCTGTCCGAAGCAAGAAGTCGCAGGAGCTTATCTCGATGGATATCCATACATCTACGAAGTCCTATAAATTCTCATACTCCGTTGAACTGGTTCCTATTTGCAAGGATGATCTGGTGGCGATTCCCATAAAACTTGCAAAGCAGATTGGTAATATTTCTCCTCTTGGACTTTGCTACCGTGTTGGAACCACGATCAACATCCTCGACCCAGCTACCCTCCAGACTGCCGATGTCTCCACACCAATTTATTGGCGTGCTCCTTTTACCTCCCTCGCCGATGTACAAGAACTGACCGAGTTTATTGTTATGGATATCGACCTGACCGGACCACAAAAGGGAAGATGGGCTCTGGCTGAAGCTACTGTTGCGCGGGCCTCAGATCTCGGATCGAATGACAAGACATACTACACCCGCACACATCTGGGCAATGTTTTGCATCCTGGAGATTCCGTAATGGGATACATGCTCACCGGCACAAACTTCAACAATCCCCAATTCGAGGCTCTTGAAGAATCCAACACATACTCCTCGCAAATACCTGACGTCATGCTCGTCAAGAAGTTCTATGCCAGAAAGAAGAAGGCGAAGAACCGGAACTGGCGCTTGAAGCGTATGACTAGGGATGAGGGTGACCTGCTACCCAAGAAGTCCGACCAGGAGCGCATGGACAAGGATTACGAGATGTTCTTGCGAGATGTTGAGGAAGATGAAGACTTGAGACAGACGATGGCCCTGTACAAGGCACAGCAGCAACAGAAGATCGATGCGGAGGCTATGAGCGTTGTAGAGACCGATGATGGAGAGGACGAGACACCACGCATCGATATGGAGGAGCTGCTAGACGAATTTGACGACCTGGCGGTTACGGACAAGTAGGGCTTCGTCAAGGCTATGCATCTGATTTGTTGGCGTTTGGTAGAAAATGGTGTTGGTCTGGGTCATTTCAGCATCGGACGTGGATCCTGAGATGAGTAGCTAGATGGATAGCACTTTACTTTTGCAATTTTTGCCAATTCTTTTTCGCCTCATGTGCTTGTCTTTGTTAATTTCAGGTGTCATTCCATGATCAACGTAAAAAGTCTCCGGGCATAATGCATCAAACATTTGATCGCACCAGCATAGTGTACACGTTTTTGGGAATGGAGCAGAGAGATTTAAGATTTGAGCTTTAAGCTGCTGATAGATACGGAGTCATTAAGGCTTTTGGTATTTCTTTTGGAAGTTTTCCAAGTCCTGACTCTGCTCTTCCTCGGGTGTGTCATCGCTTAGCGAAGCGACTCAATTTTGTCAACAATGAATGAAATGGCAAATCACAAGCTATATAGGATGACTTGCACCTCCGCTGGTTTAGGCTTATTATCTCTTGTTCGACATTCATATCAACGCTGTCTGCTTGCTTAATCGAATCAAAGCAATCAAAGCCGATCGAGCCGGTAGCTACGCACAAATGTTGCAATGCTGCTCGTAATCGACCACTGGGAACGCCATACACTTTTGATAGGGATGCAAGTGCCCTGCCACAAATGGGAGACTGCTAAGCGCTATTCTATGTACACTAAGAAGAAGTAAGAGCCGGGCCTCTTGGGTTTGCTTGTGTCACGGATCTGGAAATTCTGGAGACGTATATCATCCATGTCTCACTGAACCGCTAATACCGTAACAAAGGCCCCTCACCTCATGCCTCTCATTTTCCTCCACTCCTATCCCCTCCCATCCTCCTTCCCACGCATTTCACTATCCCTTTCATAGACTCCATAACGCCCCAGCCCTCATCAAATCATCATCTAACAAATGACATAGTCCGGAATGGTGTAGTGGTTAGCATTTCTGCCTCTCAACTATCTCGTCTAAAGTCGAAGACAAGAGAGGAAAGTCCGCAGGAGACCGGGGTTCAATTCCCCGTTCCGGAAAAAGAAGAGTTCGTTGATTTGAAGAAGGGGATTTTTTGGTTTTGATTTGTGAAGGCGAAATAGACTGGGGCTTCTGCAGCTAGCTGTTTGGTAGTATCTATTTGAAGCAAGGGAGAACCTATAGTTTTCTCTTTTGGCCTCATTGGTTCTTTAAAGAATTTCATAGGACGTGCCTATCTATCCGCTTGTTTTGTTTCTAGTCGGGTCGGCTTTGGTGTGTTAAGCGAGGAAAAGAACCCGGCTCCGCTCTCACCAGCCACTTCCTTCTCACAATTCGGCCCCTTGAAGGTCTAGGTTTGGATTAGAAAAAATCTCTGAATCCCTCATGGAAGTCTTTTTGATATACTCGGTCTTATTTCCCTCTATGATCATCAAGTGGAAATATAGAATAGAAGCGTCAAGGAGAGCGCTACCGATACTTACTTGCGGCAAAGTAGAAAACCCCCACAAAAAGGCAATGAAGACTCAGCGAAGTAACATTTTCCAACTTGATTTGCTAATTCCATTTCTCAGACCAAAATCAATCTGTACTGTAAGTGCGTGCTTGCTCAACTCCCGCGGAAAATACACCAGGGGTATGAAGCTATTCACAAACATATCCAAATTTCACAACCGCAGTAGATCATTCAAACATCATCATGCCCATCCCTCAAGATCAGATCTGGCGGTGTATGTAATCCTGTACATCTCAACATAAATCTCCATGAGTCATATTCGACGAGATAGCGCCATGTGTATCAACCAGCATTGTTCCTCATCTGCGCATCTTCAACAGCTTGGTTCCAATCAGCCTTCCAGATGAAGTATCCCTCAGCAGCAGCCACCCTGAATATTATTAGCCCAAATTCTTTTAAGTCTAGAAGAAAAGGTAAGTTAGATAAAACTTACAATCCCAACGCAAGCGCAACACCGCTCCACAAACCCTCCAACTGCCAACCCAGCGCAAAAGCCGTATAAAACGAGATCGGCATGGCGATAACATAATAACAGAACAGATTGATCCATCCACCAACCTCTTGTCTTCCAAGACCTCGCAGTAGACCGTTGCAATTCGCTGCTAGGGCGTCGAAGAGTTGGAAGGCCGCGCATAGAGGCATGACGCGTGCGACAAGGTCGGATACGTCTTGGTCGTTGGTGAAGAGTTGGGGGATGAGGTTGCGGAGGGCGGAGAGTAGAATGACGTTGAATAAACCGACGAGGGTTGCCGTAATCATTACCTGAAATCACATTAGTAAATAACAAGATTCCGGGACGAAGTTAAAAACTCACCACTTTGGCGCTTGTCTTCGCCGCATCGCTGAGAGTAGCTCCAATCAAGTTCGCAATGCGAGTCGAGGCTGCGATAGAGGTCGAGAATGGAATCTGGAATGTCATAGCGGTGATAGTACTAAGCACACTCTGGGCAGCAAGATGTGTGGTGCCGAAATAGCTTGCCGCCAGAGTAAGAATCTCGAAGGCAAGGAATTCCGCTTCAACCATGAGTAGGCCAGGCAGGGCAAGTTTGATCATTGGACCTTTGCACGTCAGCGTTCTCATCATTTACAAGTTTTAGAATCGTTACATACCCCAGTTATGGAAAGCTTTCCACGTAAACCCATTCCAACACTGCCGCCCGTCCACAAACCTGACATACAGAAACAGTAAGATCGGTAGTAGATTATCCGTAACAGCAACTGCAATGGGAGCTCCGACAAAACCCCAGTCAAAATGCCAAACAAACAACCAATTCATGAAAGCATTCAGAGGTGCCGCAACAAGCAAGACATATGTGGTGGCTGAAAACAAGCCTTGGGCCTGTACGAACCGTTTTCCGCTCTCAAAGCAGGCGAACCCAGGCGCACCAAACAGCAGAATTCGGAGGTAAAGTCCTGCAAACTCTGCAGACTCCTTTTCAGGAACCATCTTCTCCAAGATCTTCTCAGCGAATAACCAAAGTATGCCAATGGGTATCGTTAGCATCCAGAGAAAGTAGACCATCCTCTGTAGTTGAAGCCCAACAAGATGTTTCTTCCCGCTTCCATAAGCTTGTGCACATAGTGTATCCAAACTCGTGGCCAAGCCTTGGTATATCGCATATCCAGAAATGTTGGCCGTCATACTCGCCAGACTAACCGCGCCCAATTCCACCTTTCCAAGATGACCGACAGTGAAAATACTGGCTACTGGCAGAGAATACTGAAGCACGAAAGTGACAACCAGAGGACTGGAGTATTTCCACAACGTCTTAGCTTCTCGTTGCCATGTCGTTTTGATCTTCCCAGACGCAACAGCCGCTTCCCACTGGGCATTCAACCTCTCATGTCGAACTCTCGAATTTTCCAGTACGTCATTCCCCAACAACGCAGAGGTTTCCGACGGCCCCACAGCAGATGATAGATCTTCAGGATCCGCCTCTTCATCCGCCACGGTCTTCGGTCTCCTCGTACTAAATAGCCGCTTGTACAGTCGACTTAGAGCACTTCTGTCTTTTGGTTCGGGATTTTTCGGCGGAGCCAGATTGTTATCTCTCAACAGACTCCTTTCCTCATTCCTGACTTGCTTCTTCTCCTTCTTCGTCAGGTAGTTTGGTTCCTGGAACTGTCGCGGCATCTCGCATTAGTAAAGTCCCTCGCATGAGATCTCAAAATTGGACTACTGATCCTAACATAATTCGAAGATCGCTAATTTCCACATGCTCCCGGATCATCTCCCAGAAGAAAAATGAAGGATTGTTACCCACCTGCGGCGTGACAGCACCACGAGTCCCCCCAAAAGCCACAAAACTCGGCCTCCGATACGAATTGGCCATGCTATGTTGCACGACATCCGGGCGGACCGTCGATGTCTCTGAAGAATCATCTTCCGAGCTTGAACTCCCCGTCTCGGGTGTTTCAACCTCATGGTCATCGTCGTTGCAGTCCTCGAGATCTCGTGCGATCGACTCCTGGGCTATGGGAGAGCCCGAGAGGAACGATCCCGAGAGGTAGGAATTGCTAAAGGGAGATCTGGCAATTGAGTGTCGACTGGACTGTTTCCTGATCGGCTGGGCAGAACTCGCCATCTTGAAGAATGGGGGAGGTTTGGCGCGTAGAAATCAGCGTATTTCGGGCAACGGCGGGGGAGTATTCTAGATACCCCTCCAATTTCAACACTTGGTACAGTAACTTCCCATAAAGAAAAGCGAGCAACTTAGGGCAATGGAGCTGAGCAATCAAGGGGATATATGACAATGATCAGACAGAAGGAAAAGAAAGAGGGAGAGAAGGAGAAGAAGGGCAGTGGCAGGAGATGCGAAAGAAAGCAAGAGAGAGAGAAAGCCGGTCCGTTTCCCCACCAGAGCTCTCCGCCTCGCACCCTAATCGGCGGTAGTACTAACCCCTCCAAGTCTAGACCAGTAGATAAGCGTTTGTCTGAAATAGGTGCGTGCAGCCGACGGTGAGTGACTCAAGCTGTGAGGAGCGATGCATGACTTCCTTGAGAAAGAAATACATGGGGACAGAGGCGAGATGCGCATGGATGTACGAGAAATTTGTGCTACAGTGAATGTCGATTTGATGCTGAAGACATTTGCCGTTGTACAAGGTAAATAGAGAAAGGGTGACCTTCAAAGAAATGCCTGTACAAAAATGTCCCAGGTGCGGCCGCTTCCGAGGCACGCAGCCATGTGAGATGAGATGACATGACAGAAAAAGAGCAGTGATGGAAATCTGCAATACAATAACACAAAGAAGAGAGATTAACTGATGCAAAGAGTTTTACTCTCTATCGACCTAGGAATTCCTCCAGGAACCTTTCTTCAAAAGTTAAGCCTTGCCTTTACAGTATTCCCCGCAAGCGACCCTTGTAAATACGGCACCCAGATATCAGCACAAACATGCAGAACCACAGACAAGCATTGGCAAATGATATCACCCCATCACACGAGCACGCAAGAAGCTTCAACATCTTATTGCAATATCAATAACAACAGCCCTCTTTTCTTCTAGAAAGGGTATTAGTGGGAAACCTCTATTCTGATGCATCCAAGATGCCTCTCGCAGACTACTCCGACGATGAGGAAGAAGTCGGAAGCAGGAATACCTACCGTGTATTCGGAATCACAATGGGTGCTAAACCCGTGAACGTCCCTCCGTATGTATTCTTTTTACTTCCTCATTCCTTATGTATAGATTGTATGAAACGTCAATTCTCGGACATACTCTAGAGAATCCGACAGAGATTTTGGAAAGCATTCGAAGAAGCTCAAAAGGAGAGGTCAACCCTAAATGAAGATATATCTACTAACAGACACCAAATCAACACAGACACAACAGCACCTCCATCTTCTGCGTCCCCCCCTTCTTCGGCCCCCTCCTCTTCGACAACACAGACAGCGATGCTCGAGACCACTGCGCCAACGAAAGAAGTACATCTCCCTCCCTTCCTCCCCCACCAACAAACTCAACTAACACCCTCTCTCAGCATTCCTCTCGTACCTCCGTCTCTCAATCTACATGGCCGTCGTCAGCATCGCAATCGTCGTATCCTTCCACCTGAAATCGCAACCCTCGCGTCTGGAGTTACGGATGGCCAGACCACTCGGTATAATATTCTGGTTGTTGAGTCTGAGCTGTCTGGCGCTGGGGTTTGGGAATTATATCAAGACGGTCAACAAGTATAGTCGGAGGGCGGCGATTGTGCAGACGGGGTGGAAGACGCAGTCGGTGAGATGGCCTGTTTTCTATTTGCTTGTTTATTTGGAGGGTTTTCTTCTCTGTTGGATAGGATTGATGGGAATATTTGAAATACGTGGAACATCAGTCTATCAGATGCTAACAATTTCTTAGGTCCTTACAGCCATCGCTTTCAGCATCGTTGCTGTCTGTGTACTCTTTCTAGCTACGAATTCGAAACGGATATAATGGCAATTCACATCAGCGGGGCGTTCTAGGAAAAATTGGCATAGCACGGAGTTTGGTCATTGGTGGCTAGTTGGAATTGCTTAACAGTCAAGTATAATCTGTTGTGATACCATGGCCTTC